GAATGAGCAGAAACTGGAAGCATTTCCTTTGAAAACTGGCACAAGACCGGGATGCCCTCTCTCACCACTCCTAATCAACATAGTTTTGGAAGTTCTGGCTAGGACAATCAGGCAAGAGAAAGAAATAAAGGGTATTCAGTTAGGAAAAGAAGAAGTCAAATTGTCCCTCTTTGCAGATGACATGATTGTATATTTAGAAAACCCCATCATCTCAGCCCAAAATCTCCTTAAGCTGATAAGCAACTTCAGCAAAGTCTCAGGATACAAAATCAATGTGCAAAAATCACAAATATTCTTATACATCAGTAACAGACAAACAGAGAGCCAAATCATGAATGAACTTCCATGCACAATTGCTTCAAAGAGAATAAAATACCTAGGAATCCAACTTATAAGGGATGTAAAGACCTCCTCAAGGAGAACTACAAACCACTGCTCAGTGAAATCAAAGAGGACACAAACAAATGGAAGAACATACCATGCTCATGGATAGGAAGAATCAATATCGTGAAAATGGCCATACTGCCCAAGGTAATTTATAGATTCAATGCCATCCCTATCAAGCTACCAATGAGTTTCTTCACAGAATTGAAAAAAAACTGCTTTAAAGTTCATATGGAACCAAAGAAGAGCCTGCATTGCCAAGACAATCCTAAGTCAAAAGAACAAAGTTGGAGGCATCACGCTACCTGACTTCAAATTATACTACAAGGCTACAGTAACCAAAACAGCATGGTACTGTTACCAAAACAGAGATATAGACCAATAGGACAGAACAGAGTCCTCAGAAATAATATCACACATCTACAGCCATCTGATCTTCAACAAACCTGATAAAAACAAGAAATGGGGAAAGGATTCCCTATTTAATAAATGGTGCTGGGAAAATTGGCTAGCCATAAGTAGAAAGCTGAAACCGGATCCTTTCCTTACTCCTTATACGAAAATTAATTCAAGATGGATTAGAGACTTAAATATTAGACCTAAAACCATAAAAACCCTAGAAGAAAACCTAGGTAATACCATTCAGGGCATAGGCATGGGCTAGGACTTCATGTCTCAAACACCAAAAGCAACGGCAACAAAAGCCAAAATTGACAAATGGGATCTAATTAAACTAAAGAGCTTCTGCACAGCAAAAGAGACTACCATCAGAGTGGGCAGGCAACCTACAGAATGGGAGAAATTTTTGCAATCTACTCATCTGACAAAGGGCTAATATCCAGAACCTACAAAGAACTCAAACAAATTTACAAGAAAAAAACAAACAACCCCATCAAAAAGTGGGAAAAGCATATGAACAGACATTTCTCAAAAGAAGACATTCATGCAGCCAACAGACACATGAAAAAACGCTCATCATCACTGGCCATCAGAGAAATGCAAATCAAAACCACAATGAGATACCATCTCACACCAGATAGAATGGCGATCATTAAAAAGTCAGGAAACAACAGGTTCTGGAGAGGATGTGGAGAAATAGGAACACTTTTACACTGTTGGTGGGATTGTAAACTAGTTCAACCATTATGGAAAACAGTATGGCGATTCCTCAAGGATCTAGAACTAGAAATACCATATGACCCAGCCATCCCATTACTGGGTATATACCCAAAGGATTATAAATCATGCTGCTATAAAGACACATGCACACGTATGATTATTGTGGCACTATTTACAATAGCAAAGACTTGGAATCAACCCAAATGTCCATCAGTGACAGACTGGATTAAGGAAATGTGGCACATATACACCATGGAATACTATGCAGCCATAAAAAAGGATAAGTATGGTCGGGTGTGGTGGCTCAAGCCTGTAATCCAAGCACTTTGTGAGGCCAAGACGGGCGGATCACGAGGTCAGGAGATCGAGACCATCCTGGCTAACCCAGAGAAACCCCGTCTCTACTAAAAAATACAAAAAACTAGCCGGTTGAGGTGGCAGGAGCCTCTAGTCCCAGCTACTCGGGAGGCTGAGGCAGGAGAATGGCGTGAACCCGGGAGGCGGAGCTTGCAGTGAGCTGAGATCTAGCCACTGCACTCCAGCCTGGGCGACAGAGCCAGACTCTGTCTCAAAAAAAAAAAAAAAAAAAAAAAAGGATGAGTTTGCGTCCTTTGTAGTGACATGGATGCAGCTGGAAACCATTATTCTCTGCTGTGGCAAGAACAGAAAACCAAACACCGCATGTTCTCACTCATAGGTGGGAACTGAACAATGAGATCACTTGGACTCAGGAAGGGGAACATCACACACCAGGGCCTATCATGGGGAGGGAGGGGGGAGGGCTTGCATTGGAAGTTATACCTGATGTAAATGATGAGTTGACGGGTGCTGATGAGTTGATGGGTGCAACACACCAACATGGCACCAGTATACATATGTAACAAACCCACACGTTGTATACATGTACCCTAGAACGTAAAGTATAATAAAAAATAAATAAATAAATAAATAAATAAATGAAATACATAGATCATATTTAAACATAGTTTAAAGAGAATTAAATGCCAAGTTTATGAATCAGACAAAATATATGTGTAACACCTTTAAAAATGAATAAAATGTATTAGATTTATAAATAGAATACTAAGGTTTTTAAGTGGGAATTCAAAGAATTAAAGAAGACCTAAGTTTTTTTTAATGTTTCCCTCAAATAAATTTAAATTGCATAATCGAAGAAACATATATAATTTTCTTCAGGCAAAATGTGTTGTCATCAGTATTTAAAATCTCATATCAATGCAGGAGAGGATTTAATGATACAGGAGTGAGAAGGGACAAATGGTAGGCTGGGTCCACAAGGCACGGGAGAAAACAAGGTCTCGAGCTGCACTGAGGTTGGGACTAAGGTCTTTTTTCCACTTTAGCACTCCCAAGCAGATAGAAGAATTTAACTGCCTGCCTGAAAACAGTTGACTGGGACTTTTTTTTTTTTTTTTTTTTTGACCAACACTATTGATATTTCCACTATGATCTGCTTATTTTCTCACCACACCTCTAGTTGGCCTCCTGATCATTATGATTCCACTGGCAGTTGCCCTGTGTCCCTGCTTTTTTCTCCACAGGAGCTGAGCAAAACTCCTTTTCTGGAGACAATTTACTCAGCTCTTAAAAATGCTAGTGTAGTTTTGTGGGAGGAAGGCAGGGACGTTTATCTCAGAAGATAAAATGTGTGTGTGAACTTTCTGAATATAAGCTCCAAAGCAGAGAAGAAGAAAGGGAGCAACACTCCAGAGCAAAAATGCAATGAGAACAAAGATGTTGAGATATAAAAACTGCACAGCATTTTAACATAACGTAATGTAACATAACATAACATAACCATAACATGGAATGTTTTCAATAGTAGTGACATTAATTTTTTAAAATTTACCAAAATATAACTATATATCTTTGTACAATTTGTGTATTTGTGTTTTTGGTCCTAAGCCTATATGTTACATATCTATTTAATCTTCAAGGACCCAAGAGCATTTGCTCTGACATCTACAAAATGATGTGAAAATTAATCCATAAAGGAATTCATGTAACAGCATTATACAAACATCGCAAGTTCAGTGACTCTATGTGCCGCATAATCATTGTGATATATCAGAGGACAATTGATGGAGGGGTAAGGGTCTCTGGACTGAATGTTAAGGAGCATTCTTTTCCAAGCCCAAATCAGTTCACTGGTGTGCATCTTGTTAATCTTTTTATAGTAAAAAAAAAAAAAAAAAAAAAAAAAAAAAAAAACCTGACATAAGGGTATTGTAAATATTAAATGAAAAATTTCATAATGGAAACACTTAGAAAGTAATAAATATGATTTACTTAATTATAAAGTAATAAATATGTTTGTTGTTTAGGCCAGTATTCTCTTTTGATTTGGGGAAGATGACATCACACTACCTGAAGTTACAAAGTGAAGAAAATATTCTATTATAATCTGTGAATAATAGAAACACAGGTAAATCTATAGCAGACATCCCCTGTCAGATCAAACATTAGTCCTTACATTAGAAAATTGGAAAGTATAGCAAATCAACAGCATAAATCAAAACACATACAGTGGGTTTATGTGCAGATTTGTTACAGGGGGATTTTGAGTGAAACTGAGGTTTGGAGTACAGATCTCATCACTCAGGTAGTGAGCGTATTAGCTGATAGGTGGTTGTTTTACCCACCCTTCCATACCCTCTGATAGTCCACAGTGTCTATTGTTTCCGTATTTATGTCCATGTAACCTCTATGTTTAGCTCCACTTATAAATGAGAACTAAAAAATAAAAGAGATGATAAAAGACATTCATAACATACTGTGAAACACAAGCAAGGATGTCAGCAGATTACTCATCAAAAACAATGCCAGTGACAACAAAGTAGACTAACATCTTTAACTCATGGAAAAAAAGGAAAAAAAATCTTATATTTTGGACTTCTATATCCAGAAAAAACATCTTATAAAATGAGGACAAAATAAAAGACTTGCTCAGATTTACAAAGCTTTGTTGAAACTTACAAAAGCAAAAAAGATTAATCATCTGCAGACCCACGGTGTGAGAAAAGTTGAAGGAAGCTTCTCAGGTGGAAGGAAAATGACACCAGATGAATACAGATTTTCACAAAGAAATGCAGAGTGCAGGAAAAGAGAACAATGTAGATAAATGTATAAGAAGGTTTTACAATCATTTAAATATTTTTAAAGCTTAACGTATTTATTTTGGTTTTTGTTTTTGCAGCTTAACTTTTTAAGCAAAAGTTATAACATTTATAAATCATACTTATAGCCTTAGAAATACAAGACCTATAAATTGAAATGTATAGACACACAACTTAGTACCATTTTATTCATATTAAAAATCATTAGATACTTCACTTTGAAAATACATGCCAAAATTTCTTTAAATTTTTTTTTTAAAAAAGGAAAAAGTGCATGGTAATTTTAAAAAACTGATTTGTTAGCATTTTAAACTTAAGGAGATGATGAGATTTCTTTGAAGAGATGTGTGTGAACTCCCATTAGCTCCTAGAGGCATCGAACATCTTTTGAGAACAGAGGATTTTCTTGATGGCATTTTTCATATCTTTGTTCCTCAGACTATAGATTATTGGGTTGAAAAGTGGGGCAAGGACAGCAAACATCAGTGCAATGGCCTTGTCCAGTAGTGGTGGGAACGTGACAGAGAAGCGCAGATACATGAGTGCCACACTGCCAAAAAACAGTAAGAAAATAGCAACATGGGCTGTACACGTGGAGAAAGCCTTCTGATGGCTCTCACCAGAGGGAATCCTCAGGATCACCGTGATGATTCTTGGACTCGGGAAGGGGAACATCACACACCGGGGCCTATCATGGGGAGGGGGGAGGGGGGAGGGATTGCATTGGGAGTTATACCTGATGTAAATGACAAGTTGATGGGTGCTGACGAGTTGATGGGTGCAGCACAGCAACATGGCACAAGTATACATATGTAACAAACCTGCACATTATGCACATGTACCCTAGAACTCAAAGTATAATAATAATAATAATAATAAAAAGGAAAGGGTGATGACAGAGACAGAAGTCAGAATGGAAATAGCATGGATCACATCTTCAACCAGAATTATGGATGTATCTGTGCAGGCCAACTGCAGCACAGGTTCAAAGTCACAAAAGAGTTGATGAATTTGGTTGGAGCCACAGAATGGAAGAGTACAAATCCACACAATCTCTGGCAATAACATGAAGAAGCCCAAAATGCAAGAGCTAGTGAAGAGCTGGATGCACAGTCGAGGGGTCATAATGATTGCATAGCGAAGGGGGTTGCAGATGGCTACATACCTGTCAATGGCCATCACTGTGAGGACTAGGGCTTCTGTGACCCCGAGTGAGTGGAAGAAATATATCTGCAGGAGGCAGCCTATGAAAGAGATGGTTTTCTGTTCACTGAGAAGGTTGGAGAGCATCTTGGGGATAGTCACGGTGGTGTACCAAATCTCCAGGAAGGAGAAGGCACTGATAAAATTGTACATAGGATTATGGAGATGGGGGTCCAGTTGGACAGCAAAGAAAATCATGAAATTTCCAACAATAATGAATATATAAAGAGCATAGGAACGAAGAATAAGAGGCTGCCATTCTTAGATTGAGGAAAATCAGAGAAATGAAACTCAGTCACCATTGTCTGATTCTCTGGATCCATATTTTCAGCGGTTTCACTTGTTGGCTAATAAAACACAGTTAGCATTCTAAGTACATACAAAGAACAAATAAAAACTTCCTTTTCAAGCAGCTAAACAGCCTTGAAATTAGGCTGGTCAAATAAAATATACTATGTGAGTTATTTTGCAAAATACGAAGTTATCCTGTCAAATTTCCAAATGTTTTTTAGTAATTATAACTTATGTTGTTAATTATTCTGTTGGATAAGCTAACAGTATTGCTAGTTAGACATATAAGTTGGTACAAACTCCCCTGAATGGCAATTTGGCAATTTATATTGAGAGTTTAAGACTATTTAGAGCCTACATTTCACTATGTAGTCTAGGGGAAATATTTCAGATATTAAAAAGAGATATATGGCAATATTAGCTAGAATATTTATTATAACAGTAAATTAGAAACAATTTAGGTAAGTAGACATTTTTATGTTTTTTGAGATGAAGTGTGGGGGACACAGAATGGATTATGACAAAATGATACCCTCTGTGGATAAGAATAAGCTCATTTTTAAGTTGGCATGTTTAAAACTAAGGTATGATTACCAGCTTCCCTTAGTCTCACTCATTATTAACAATTGAATGAGAAGAAAAAATCTAAATATTCCACTGAATATAATTTAAGATGACAGGCTAATCTCATGTGATATATATGGATGTGCAAATTAATCTAATCTACACCCTAAAGGGGGTATATTAGGGTCCTCTAGAGGGACAGAAGTAATAGGAGATGGATATATATATATATATATATATATATATAGTTAAAGGGAAGCTTATTAAATATTAACTCACACTATTACAAGGTCCCACAATAGGCTGTCTGCAAGCTGAGGGGCAAGCAAAGCCAGTCGGAGTCCCAAAACTGAAGAACTTGGAGTCTGATGTTTGAGGGCAGGAAGGGTCCAGCACAGGAAAAAGATGTAGGCTGAGAGGCCAGGTCAGTCTAGTCTTCTCATCTTTTTCTGCCTACTTTATATTCCAGCCACGTTGACAACTGATTAGATGGTGCCCACCCAGATTAAGAGTGAGTCTGCCTTTCCCAGCAGACTTTTGCCTGACCCAAAAGTTAATCTCCTTTGGCAACATCCTCACAGACACACCCAGGATCAATACTTTGTATCCGTCAATCCAATCAAGTTGACACTCAGTATTAACTTTCACAGGAGGTTAGTTAATGGTTGAAGTGTGCTAATCTAGAAATTACATTCTAGGTGTAATTTGCTAACATTTGAAATACTTTAATCAATAGTCTACCTCAAGAGGCAGATTTGACAAGATCTTCAAATATTCTTATCTGTATCTACACTGTAGAGTTTATTAATGAATGTAAAGCACGTTTTGTCAACTTCAGCATTATTGACGTTTTGGAACAGACAATTCATTGCTTGGAGAGAAGGTGAGGCTGTTCGTGCATTATAGAATGTCTAGCAGTCACTCCTGGTCTCACCTATCAGGTGTCAGTAGCATAGACTCCTCCCTCCATCATGACTACCAAAATGGTCCTAGAAATCGCTAAATGTCCCTGTAGGGAAGAAGTACAAGAAAATTTGTGCCAGTTAAGAACCATTGGCAGACAGAAAATTTTTTTAAAATGAAAAAACCAGGTGATCAAGATATGTTGATTGGCTGAAAGTATACCTAACCTCTGGCTTGCAGGGATGTAAAATATGATGGGTTAGGCAGCCTATAGAGCTTGGAGAGGTGCAATAGGCACATGATCCATTCATTCCTGTGTTCCCTCTTTAAAGGGATATTTATCACCTAATCTCACTAGAAAGTTGGCTTTTCTACTGGAGAGAATTTTGTTACATTTTATCTTTGATAGAAACTTTCATTTACTATACTCACCAGAAAGCATAAGGAAAAAGAGTTGAGACTTCCATGAGCTTCCAGGAAAAGGCCTAATAGTAGTATGTTTTTGCCTGTGTGCTAATAAATGTTTGTTTGCTTGGCAGAATTCTGACTCTTGACTTGGTACTGAGGTGAAGATGGGATCTGTAAATAGAGAAAGCTACTGATATCCACCAAAAACAGTCAGACAGCTGTGAACTGCCAGTGGATACAACAAATAGATAAAATTATTTGGAAACCATAATACCAGAGGCTATGCACAAATAAGAATCCAGCTTGGCATATGGCAACCACAATTTTTTTTCTCTTGCTTTGTATGCATACAGCAAAATAGTAAGTCTATGTTGAAACAGGAAAATATGAGGTGAAAATTCCCTTGTTTTTCTTGAAGAAAACTTTTACATAAAAAATAGAGGTTCATAAAAAGTAATTTACACTCTAGCCATTTTTAACTTAATGACTCTTATCTGGATTTATTGTTTCCAGACTTGTCTTACTACAACTCACTCTTCACATAGCTACTGAAATAATCTTTCCTAAATGCAAAGCTGTCAGTTCTCTGAAAACCTTATACTGGCTTTCTATAGGGCTCCAACTCAAACCTGAGCCTTTAAGAAGAACAGACAATATGGCTGTATACGAGATTTTAAAATTATTTTGTCATCTCAATATCTTATGATTGTATTATCCCCAACAGGCTTTCCTACTGTGATAGAAAATGACACCCGTATAATTGTTGTGTGTTCTGCTTACAGAGGCAGTAGGGAGATAAACAGGGAAACTAGCATTAAACTCTATGTCCAGTACAGTTTGGAATTAGAAAATTGTAACCTGGAAATTTTTTTTAAAAAACGTAGGTCTTTAGAAACTGGAGTTTCTAAAGAAGGAAAGAGGACGCCTATAGGAAGCGAATTTGATATAGAGTCTTGGGAGCAAAGTTAAACCTAACAGGACTCTCCTATATTCTGTAGGAATGGATACCCCAGAATCTTAACCATAAGCTCCACTAGTTGTCCTGACATTCCTTTATTCTTAAGAGCCTGTCCTGATGCCACTAAATACAATACAAACATCCCAGATTAGAATTTAGCTCAGAAAATAGCAGAGTTGTGGAAGAGTCACAGAGCTAGTGGGTCAGACACAATGTGATAGATTTAGTCCAGGTGTTTGTTATCTTATGACTATCTCTAATTGTAGGACACACACTCATCAAAGCCCTCCATCCCTAAGTTATGGTCCTTTCCTCTACCTCATGTGTTATCACAATCTCAACAAAATGTCCACAAGTCCTTCCTTAAAGTCCAATAGGAAATAATACGGTTCTGTGACAATTGTCCCCCAATATCTAGTAAACAAAGTCATTCACTCATATCTCAAAGTAGAAAGTCCACCCCTCAGTCCATCTACCTCTTCCAGAAACCAACAGAGTCACTTCCTCTTTTCCAAATGTCTCCATCTTCATTGCTCTGCAGGTCAATAAGTAGGAAGGTTGTAACCACAGCCACAACTCTAGGCTTCACAGGGAATTGCTAAGTGGGAGAAAGGCTTTCTTCTAAAGGGCTCTCTCCTGGGGTGACTCCGTAAGCCTTAGACTTAGGGAAAAGCAACTCTATGCCTCATGTGGCTAATTAGGAAAACACTTGCTGCCACACTCCCCTTTCATGAGGTCAACACACCTATGGGAAGCTAAGTTTCTCAGTCAGGCTAGAAGTCAGATCAAAAGAGTACTTGGGCTTTCCATTCGGTCCAAGGGGTAAAGAATAGTTTAAATTACAAAATCTGCTGAGAAAGGGGAAGGAGAAGGAACAAAAGGAATGAAACTAACAAAATGTGGTTCAAAGGCAGGAAAATTTTCTCTATTCTTTGAAGGAGTTTATTGATTGCACAGCACAACCCTGAAGTGTATTGCAGAAGATTCAGCCAGTTGCCATCTAGCACAACTTAGTAGAATTTCTTCAGAAGAATCCAGGGATCACAGGGCCATTTGCAGTAGTGGCAGGAATGAGGGGACTCCCATGAGATTTCATGGGCTACAGGGGTTGCAGCAGTAGATATCCCAAGTGTTTGGAGTCAGGAAAGGATTGAAGGGCAACCTTTCCTGCTACATGAAAGCTGTATTGATGAGTACAGATGAGCTAGCCCTTGTACAGACCTGAAATTAAAAAAAAAAAAAAAAAAAAAGGGCCTCATAGAGTGGACAGGAAATAGAAGCAGAAGGATACTTTACTTTCTATTTTTCCAACTTTTTAAAAACTGAAATTGGACTTAATATTAACCTTCAGGTGGGTAAAGGCAGAAGGAATAGATACATACAATTCATAAGATTTTTTTCTTTTGTCACAAAAAAGATACAAAGTAATTATGAAATGTTAAATGTTTAGTGGAATAGTAGCAGTGGATATGGAAATGCAACAGAATTTGAAAGCAGATTTGAAATCAGAAAAAAAATACCTGAGGGGACACAGGCATATATGGTGCAAAAAAATGAGTCAGAGCAGAGGTGACTTTTCACTCTGAATGATTAGATTTTTTTTTTAAATAAACGTTCTCTTTATTTTACCAAATATAATTTATCAGTTAAGTTGACATTTGTCAACTCAGTTATAGTAACTATAAATAATTCTCTTAAGACACAGTTCTGCAACTTTTTAAGGATACGAGAGTAAACCAATATTGCTCCTTGCAGCCAGGCCAAAAATACATGCAGTTGGTACAATCAGGGAAAATACACGAATCTTCTATGAAAGCCACCTTCATTTTCTTTCCCTCTCACCCTCCAGTCCTCCTCTGCTCACACACTCGCAGCCTGCGGCATGCCTATCTGTCTGCTTTTTAAGCAAAGGAGGTCACTCCAGAGTCTTCTGGGACTACCTGGCCAAATTCCAGAGATGAGGAAGGGGTGAGTGACTGGGGCAGGGGTGGCTGGAGATCACAGGCACACAGCCTTAGGGGCGGAGGAGCTGGTTTTGGTGTCTGTACAAGAAGAATCTGTGTGCCAGTGTTTTTTGAGGTGGAGGAAAAGATGAAAAAAATCCAGAGGGAGGAGGGAAAACAAGCCCAGGCTGGTGTTAATGAACTACGTTGGATACAACTCCAACTAGATAACCTCTAAAATTCCTTCCAATTCTAA